ATTAGAGAGAGTGGATAGGCTAGGCTGGATCCACAGCTGCCCTCTGTGCCTGAGTTGATCAAGCTGTGAGGCCTGTGTACAAGTTCCAGGGTTGAGGGTTTACTTATCCGATCCTCAGATTTGAGTCTCAGATGCTGCCTCTGTGATATGGGACAAGTCAGGTTCACAGGGACCCATTATCATCTGGAAGAATGGATTCGGAGCACAAGAGCAAGACAGCCCCTGGGAGCCAGGGCAGAGCAGGTCTCAGGAGGAGGAGGACAGGCAGGATGGTCGCATGCTCTCCAGTGAGGGTGCCAGCTGCTTCAGTGCTCCTGTGAGCTGGCATCAGGGATCCAGGGAGGAGAGGCACACCCTTATACAGGCCTCTTTTACTCAGTAACTGTCCGGTGGCCAGTGTAGCCCACTTCAGAGAAGCTCCCCTTAACTTGGGGGTGAAATCAGGCATGGGGTGGGAGGACAGGGCGGGGCCCTGTATTCCTCCGGAAGGACAGCCTGCTTCAAACAAGGCAGTTCCCGTTTAACATTTTAAAAATCAACACAGTTCCTGGAGCCTAATACATGTTCCCTTGCTTCCTTTCCCTTCCCCTCAAGGAGCCTACCTTCTCTAGGATGAAGAGCTTTCCCAGTGCCTTTTATTCCCCATGGGGTCAGCAGGCTAGAGGCTGTCTCCTCAGGGACAGGGCTCCCTCTGCTGGTTCACCAGCCGCAGCTGAAGGATGAGGAACAGAACCCTTCCCACGACAACACAGACTTCAAATAATCGTCATAATAACCTGTGACGATCTGCTTCTCATAGAGGACAACTGTCCATTGGTATGTAGATTAACAGTGGTAATATGAAGTATGGCAAAGGCTCCAGAGTCAGACAGGGCCCTGTGCAGCAGTGACCTTTGGTGTGCGTCTTAATTTCCCTGAGCCTCAGTCTTCGAGCCTTTAAAGTGGATATAATGGATCCGTGTATCAGTCAGGGTCCAGTGAGGAAAACAGAAATCACAGTACAGATGCTCCTCTGCTTATGATGGGTCACCTCCCGAAAAACCCATTGAACACTGGAAATATCCTATGTAGGAATTCAACTTGCAATATTTTTGACTGGGTTTATCCCATGTAACTCCATTGTAAATTGGGGCATCTCCTGAATGCTATTGCTTTTGCACCATTTGTAAAGTCGAAGAATCATAAGCGGGTCACTGTGTATAGTTGTGTTTTTGCTTTGTTTTGTTTTGTTCTTTCGAGACGGAGTCTCACTCTGCGGCCCAGGCTAGAGTACAGTGGCACGATCTTGGCTCACTGCAACCTCCACCTCCCGGGTTCAAGTGATTCTTGTGCCTCCACCTCCCGAGTAGTTGGGATTACTGGCATGTGCCAACGCACCCAGCTAATTTTTGTATTTTTAGTAGAGATGAGGTTTCACCATGTTGGCCAGGATGGTCTCAATCTCCTGAACTTGTGATCCGCCTGCTTCGGCCTTCCAAAGTGCTGGGATTACAGGCATGAGCCACCAAGCCCGGCCATGTAGTTTATTTAACAGACAGAATGGCCGGGTGTGGTGACTCACGCCTGTAATCCCAGCACTTTGGGAGGCTGAGGCAGGTGGATCACGAGGTCAAGAGATCAAGACCATCCTGGTCAACAAGGTGAAACCCCGTCTCTACTAAAAAGTACAAAAATTAGCTGGGCATGGTGGCGCGTGCCTGTAGTCCAAGCTACTCAGGAGGCTGAGGCAGGAGAATTGCCTGAACCCAGGAGGCGGAGGTTGCGGTGAGCCGAGATTGCGCCATTGCACTCCAGCCTGGGTAACAAGAGCGAAACTCCGTCTAAAGAAAAAAAGAAAAAAACCCCATCAGTTCTCAGACTTATTCACTACCATGAGAACAGTAAGGGGGAAACTGTGATCCAATTATCTCCACCTGGCCCGGCCTTTGACACAAGGGGATTATGATAATTCAAGGTGAGAAATGGGTGGGGACACAGCCAAACTATAGCAGAGCTACACATCCATCTCAAAAAGCCAGGAAGAGCCTCATCATGTCTAGCAGTGCACAGACAAGACCGGGAAATCGAAAAGAATTTAATCAAGGATCTATTAACTGAAGTGTGGGCAGACCAGCAACAAGGGAGGGCTGGCACAGCACACTGAGATTAGTAAGAGCTGGAGCTGTTAACTACCACTCTGAGTTCCATTACACAGTCCATTGTGTGAATAATATCTAAGACTATTTCTGGTTTTATGCTATGATGAATAGTGTTGCTGTGAACATTCAATAAAGTATTTATTTTTCCTGAAAATCCTTTGTTATCACGATTGTCTACAGGATAAATCTCAGTGTGACTTATTTGGCTGCATCCTATAGATTGCTAAATATTATTCCATTGTTTAGATAATGTACCACAGTCATTTATTGTTTTCGTTTTTTTGAGACAGGGCCTCGTTCTGTCTCCCAGGCTAGAGTGTGGTGGCGTGATATGGTTCATTGCAGTTTCAACTTCTCCAGCTCAAATGATCCTCCCACTTCAGACTCCTGAGTAACTGGGACCCCAGGCAAGTGCCAACATGCTTGGCTGATTTTTTTTTTTTTCTTTTTCTATAGACACAGGAAAGGGAAGGACCACTTACTAGAACCTGGTGAGCTGTATGGTGATGGCTACGGGGGTTGTGACTTGGGTGCCCTGCCAGCCCACCGTGGCTACCCAGCAGCCAGGAAGCTGGGGGAATACTATCCTCTCTTTTCCCTCCTTCTTGCCAGTACTAGGATTGCCAGATTACATAGAAAATACTTAGGCTAAAAAAAAAAAATGCTTGTTGTTTTTCCAAAATTCAAATTTAACTGGGAGTCCTGTATTTTATCTGGCAAGCTTAGCCAGTTCTCCTCATTGGCTGGACCCAGACAAAAGCCACAGCATGAGAGAACCTATAGGTGCAGCCAAATAAGTCACACTGAGTTTTATTCTACAGGCAATAGGGATAATCAAAGCTTTTCAGGAAAGGGATTAATAAACACTTGATTATATATACTTAATATAACTAACACTCAGGCAACATTATTCATAACAGTATAAAACTGGAAATGGCCAGGTGTGGTGGCTCATGCCTGTAATTCCAGCATTTTGGGAGGCCAAGGCAGGCGGTACATGAGGTGAGGAGTTCAAGAGCAGCCTGACCAATATGGTGAAACTCTGTCTTTACTGAAAATATGAAAATTAGCTGGGCATGGTGGTGTGCACTTGCAGTCCTGGGACTCCCTACTCGGGAGGCCGAGGCAGGAGAATCAACTGAACCTAGAGGCAAAGGTTGTAGTGAGCCAGGATCACACCACAGCACTCCAACCTGGGTGACAGAGTGAGACTCCACCTCAAAAAAACAAAACAAAACAAACAAAAAATTGGAAATAATCCAATGTATTTAGAACCACAGCCAAATGCAGTAACATGTTTTATTTATTTATTTTTATTATTAATCAAGAAGGAAGATACTTTTTTTTTTTTAAAGATGGGATCTTGCTTTGTTGCCTGGTGACATGGCTTGGCTGTTTCCCCACCTAAAATCTCATCTTGAACTGTAATCACATAATCCCCATGTGTCAAGGGTGGGACCAGGCGGAGGTAATGGGGGTGGTTTCCCTCATGCTGTTCTCATGATAGGGAGTGAGTCTTACAAGATCTGAAGGTTTTAGAAGTGTTTCCCATTTCCTTGCTGATTCTTATTCTCTCTGCTGCCACCCTGGGAAGAGGTGCCTTCCACCATGATTGTACGCTTCCCGAGGTCTCCCCAGCCATGCGGAACTGTGAGTCAATTAAACCTCTTTTCTTTATAAATTACAGAGTCTTGGGTATTTCCATATAGCAATGTGAGAATGGACTAATACACCTAGCTAATTTTTAAATTTTTATTTACTTATTTATTTATTTTTGTGATGGAGTCTTGCTCTGTAGTCTCCAGAGCAAGACTACTACTCTGTAGTCTGCAGGCTGAAGTGCAGTAGTGTGATCTTGGCTCACTGCAACATCCACCTCCTAAGTTCAAGTGATTCTTCTGCCTCAGCCTCCCAAGTAGCTGGGATTATAGGCACGTGCCACCACACCTGGCTAATTTTGTATTTTTAGTAGAGACAGTGTTTCACCATGTTGGCCAGGCTGATCTTGAACTCTTGACCTCAGGTGATCTGCCTGCCTTGGCCTCCAAAAGTGCTGGGATTACAAGTGTGAACCACCATGCCCAGCCAAATTTTTAATTTTTTTTTTTTTTTTTTAGAGATGGGGTCTTGCTATGTTGTCCAGGCTGATCTCAAACTTTGGGCCTCAAGTGACCCTCCTGCTTCAGCCTTCCAGTGCTTTGGGATTATAGGCATGAACCTCTATGACTGGCCTTTTTTGTTTTCAATAAGTCTCAGTTTATTGGATTCTTTTAGTATACATTTCTTTTTCTTTTTTTGGAAGGGAGGAAGGCAGGAAGGGAGGAAAGGAGGAAAGGAGAGAGGAAGGAAGGGAGGGAGGGAGGGAGAGAAGGGAAGGAAGAAAATCAGGCAGTGAGAGAGACATTGCCCACCTGGATCTAGAGGTCTATAAGTTGATTTCTTTCTTTCTTTTTTGTTGAGAGAAGGAAAGAAAAAAAGGAGTGAAGGAGAGGAAGAAAGATGAAGAAAAAGAGGGAGAGAGAATGGAAATGTTGCTTTATTCTAAAAAAAATGGGTATTAATGGCCAATCAATATTTCATTTAAACCTATGAGTAGGTGTGATGTGGTATTGACAAGAATGTATATTTTGTGTATTTAAAGTGGAGAGCTCTATAAATATTTATTAAGTTTACTTGTTCCAGATCTGAGTTCGAGTCCTTGATATCCTTATTAATTTTCTGTCTCATTGAGTCTAAGACTCTATGTATCTGGGTGTTAGGATCGTTAGCTCTTATTGTTGCATTTGTCCTTCTACCACTATATCTTTGTTGCTTTAAAATTTATTTTATCAGATACAAGAATTGCAACTCCTGCTTTTTATTTATTTATTTATTTTTGCTCTCCATTTGGTTGGTAAATCTTTCTCCATCCCCTTTGTTTTGAGTCTTTGTGTATCCTTGCATGTGAAACGGGTCTGGATGTAGCATGCCAGTTGGGTTTTGGCTGTATCTTTTGATTGGCGGATTTAGTCGTTTTAAATTTAGGATTACTGCCATTTGATGTTAACTGGCTGTTTTATCCATTCATTGATGTAAATTCTTCTTTATGTTGATGCTCTTTACTTTTTGGTATATTTTTAGAAAGGCTAATACTGGTTGTTTCTTTCTATGTGTAATGCCTCTTTCAGAAGCTCTTGTAAAGCAGGCCTGGTGGTAATAAAATCTCTGAGTACTTGCTTGTTCATAAAACATTTTATTTTTCCTTCAGTTGTGAAACTTAGTTTGGTTGGATATGAAATTCTGGGCTGAAAGTTCTGTTCTTTAAGAATGTTGAATATCGGCCCCCACTCTTTTCTGGCTTGTAGAGTTTCTGCTGAGAGATCTGCTGAAAGTCTGATAGGCTTCCCTTTGTGGGTAACCTGGCCTTTCTCTCTGGCTGCCCTTAGTATTTTCTCCTTTGTTTCAACCTGGTGAATCTAACGATTATGTGCCTTGGGGTTGCTCTTCTTGAGGAATATCTCTGTGGTGTTCTCTGTATTACCTGGGGTTGAATATTGTCCTGCTTTGCTAGTTTAGGAAAATTTTCCTGAAGAATATTTTCCAGCTTGGATTCATTCTCTCCGTTGCATTCAGGTACATCTATCAAACGTAAATTTGGTCTTTTCACATAGTCCCACATTTCTTGGAGACTTTGCTCATTCCTTTTTATCCTTTTTTCTCTAATCTTGTCTTCTTGTTTTATTTCAGTGTGGCTTCCTTCTTGAGTCTGTAATAGGCGACTCTGCCTTCCTGGAGCTCCAAACGTCGGTCAGAAGGGGAACCCGTCCCGTTTACTCTGCACCAAGAGCTGCCACGCCGAGGTGCTGGCAAAACCGCTGCACCGGCCACAAGAGTCACACTGGCGACCTGTGCGGCTCCTCCACTGGGAATCTTCTGCTCCATGAGTGACAAAAATTTGTCTGAAAGTGTGGCGTCCTCTCGTTCTCTGCGCTTTCACTGGGAGCTGCAATCCCAAGATGTTAGCGATCAGCCATTTTGGATCGTTCCTCCTCTTTTTTTTTTGAGACAGTCTTGCTCTGTCTCCAGGCTGGAGTGCTGGAATGCAGTGGTGTGATCTCGGCTCACTGCAACCTCCAGCTGTCGGGTTCAAGCAATTCTCCTGCCTCAGCCTCCTGAGTAGCTGGGACTATAGGCATGCAACACCACGCCCAGCTAGTTTTTGTCTTTTTAGTAGAGACAAGGTTTCACCATGTTGGCCAGGACGGTCTCGAACTCTTGACCTTGTGATCTGACTGCCTCGTCTTCCCTAAGTGCTGGGATTACAGGTGTGAGCCACCGTGCCTGGCCAGCATAAATTTCCTAAGGATTTAAAATTTAAAAATCGGGCCAGGTATAGTAGCTCATGTCTGTAATTCCAGCACTTTGGGAGGCCAAGGTGGTCAGATCATGAGGTCAAGAGATCGAGACTATTCTGGCCAACATGGTGAAACCCTGTCTCTACTAAAAATACAAAAATTAGCTGGGCATGGTGGTGCATGCCTGTAGTACCAGCTACTCAGGAGGCTGAGGCAGAATAATCGCTTGAACCCTGGAGATGGAGGTTGCAGTGAGCTGGGATCACACGGCTGCACTCCAGCCTGGTGACATAGCAAGACTCCATCTCAAAAAAAAATTTTTTTAAAAAAAATCAAATCATATTTCATCTACATAGAGTACATATCCTACAATTCACTGTAAATAACAATTTTAAAGGTAGTTACTATGTTACAGAATTACTCTCAATCTCTATGTATAGATGTATACATGTGTATATATAACATATTTAAGTAGTCAGTTATACTGCTGACTTTTGCGTTTCTTTTCAAATAATCACATAAAATAATCTTCTTTACCTGACTGCATCCTATTCATTTTATAAATGTTTTTCTACACTTTTTAGTACATTCTTATGAAGATGATATACACATACAGTCATATAACCATCACCAAACCAAACTATAGGAGAGTTCAATCACACCTCCAAATCTCCCTAGACCCCTTTGTATTTTATCTTCTCCCCCAGCCCGCAGCCCCTGGCAACCACTGATCCGTTTTCCAACCCTATAGGTTTTCCTTTTTCAGAAAGGAAATGGAATCATAAATATTTATATAAATAGAATCATACAGTAACATAGCCCTTTAATTCTGGCTTCTTGGCATAATTCATTTCAGTCATCCCTGTTGTTGCATGTATCCATATTTCATTTATTTTCATTGCTAAGTATTATTCAGTCGTTCAGATGATGTACCACAGTTGTTTTTCATTTGTTTGTTTGAGACAGAGTCTCAGTCTGTCTCCCAGACTGGAGTGCAGATCATGGCTAATCACAGCCTTAACCTCCTGGGCTCCAGTGATCCTCTTGTCTCAACTTCCTGAGTAGCTGAGACTACAGGCATGCACCACTAGACCTGGCTAATTTGTTGGCAGGGAAGTAGATAGAGACAGGGTCTCACTATGTTGCCCAGGCTGGACTCCCAATTCCTGGGCTCAAGCAACCCTCCTGCCTGGGCCTTCCAAAGTGCTAGGATTACATAGTGTGAGCCACTGCCCCTGGACCACAGTTTGTTTATCCATACAGAAGGTTAAGGGCACTTGGGGTATGTATCAGTCAGGGTTCTCAAGAGACTCTATCTATCCATCTAGAATGAATAAATGAAAGTTTATTTTAAGAAATTGGCTCCTGTAATTGTGGCAGCTAGTAAGTTCACAATTTATAGGGCTGCAGGGCAGGCCAGCAAGCTGGGAATGCAGGGAGGGTTTCTGAGTTCCAGTTTTGAGGCAAATTCCTTCTTTTCTGGGAAACCTGTTTTTGCTCTTAAGACCTGCACCAGCCAGGTGAGGTGGCTCATGCCTGTAATCCTGGCACTTTGGGAGGCTGAAGCAGGAAGATAACTTGAGGTCTGGAGTTCAAGACCAGCCTGGCCAACATGGCAAAACCCTGTCTTTACTAAAAATACACCTTAGCCTACCAAAATGCTGGGAGTATAGGTGTGAGCCACCATGCCAACAGAGATCAGACAGAGCAGTAAGGACCCAATGTGTAAGGAATAAACATGCCTGCCTTTCTTTTGTTCATTGCACTCTCATGGTAAGATAGCTGGTGAGTAGTACTTTCTGCAGAAAGTAAAATTGATTTGCTGAGAAAACTTTTTGTCTAAATGCTGATTTCCTTGCAGTACCTAAGAACATGTATTCTGTCTCTAACACCAGCCTTACACTTTTTATAGCTACAGAAATGAAGAGTAAACAATATATATACACACATATATGCATTAAATTCTATTTTACAAAATAAAAGGATAAGCTAAAAACTCAGAATCTGGGTCTTGGTGGACAGCTGGTAGACAAACAGAAAATAGAAGAAACCTTAAGTAAATGATGATCAATATACTAGTTCCTAAGTTAGATGGTGAGATCATGATTACTGTGGAGACAGAAGTGACTCCATCTATGACGCTAATCCATTATATTGACTTCTGATTAGCCCCAGTTCTGTGAATGCCTTCTGATTCCTATCTATTGTTCTTAGTGTAAGAACATGTCAACCTTGATGTTAGCACACAATTATAGGCTATGATGCCTACAGCATTCTTGCAGATTCTGGAGGTTTGCCTTCAATTGTCTTGCTGGAACACATAGACCCTTTCCCTAGATATTATGAGCCCTGGATTTGGAGGGTAACAGTATGAAGATCTACCTGCCTTGCTGCCACTCAAGACCAGGGTGCTGGCTGGGTGCAGTAGCTCATGCCTGTAATCCCAGTGCTTTGGGAGGCCAGGGCGGGTGGATCACTTGAGGTCAGGAGTTCAAGACCAGCCTGGCCAACATGGTGAAACCCCATCTCCACTAGAAATACAAAAAAAAAAAATTAGCCAGGCAAGGTGGCAGGCACCTGTAATCCCAGCTACTCCAGAGGCTGAGGCAGGAGAATTGCTTGATCTGTGGAGGCAGAGGTTGCAGTGAGCCAAGATCACGCCACTGCACTCATCTGGACAACAGAGTGAGACTCTGTCTCAGAACAAAAAGGCCAGCTGGGTGCGTGGTTCATGCCTGTGATCCCAGCACTTTGGGAGGCCAAGGGGGTGGATCACAAGGGCAGGAGTTCAAGACCAGCCTGGCCAACATGGTGAAACCTCGGCCTCTAGTAAAAATACAAAAATTAGCCAGGCGTGGTAGCGGGTGCCTGTAATTCAAATTATTTGGGAGGCTGAGGCAGGAGAATTGCTTTTGCCCAGCAGGCAGAGGTTGCAGTGAGCTGAGATCATGGCACTGCACTCCAGCCTGGCAACAGAGCAAGACTCCATCTTGGGGGAAAAAAACCAAAAACCAGGGCTCCATCCATAAGTTACACAAACAAATCAACTTTCACTCACAAACTGGATTTGTCTGCCTTATTCTTTGGTTTCTCTGCTCCTTCTGTGTTTGGCTGTCACTTTGAATATACAGTCACTTTCATGGAACAGTTGTTTGTTATTTCATTAAAATATGAAGTTAAAAAAGGGCCATGCATGGACTAATGACAGTATGTTGCAATCCAAGGATTGTAGTAAAACCAATTTTGTGCACTTGCAGTCCATTTTTTTAAAAGAGAAAAATTAGTGGCAATATGGATACTATTTTGGAATGGGAAGAGAATAATGGCATGGCCAAGCATGGTGGCTCATGACTGTAATACCAGCACTTTGGGAGGCTGAGGCTGGTGGATCAGTTGAGGTCAGGAGTTAAAGACCAATTTGACCAACACGGTGAAACTCCATCTCTACTAAAAATACAAAAACTAGCTGGGCATGGCGGCATGTGCCTGTAGTCCTAGCTACTTGGAGGCTGAGGCAGGAGAATCACTTGAACCCAGGAAATGGAGGTTGCAGTCAGCTGAGATCATGCCACTGCACTCCAGCCTGGGCAACAGAGTAAGACCCTGTGTCAAGGAAAAAAAAAATAATAGCATGAAGATCCAGGAAAGAAAGGCATTCCAATAATCAGTGAAAATTATAGACCAGCAGACCAGGGCGGTAAAAGTAAAGATAGAGAATAGACAGATTTAAATGACAAACAAGAGGGGGCATGGGCAGGACTTTGTGATGATATGAATGTAGGGAAGAAGGCAGGTGGTGGAGATGGCTGATATTTCTAGTTTGTGAAAATGATGTCTCATTCATCAATATAGGGAATGCCTGGGCAGAATTTTGAGGGGTCTAAAGACCCTGGGGGACTATTCAAAATTCAAGTATGGAGCTCAAGACATGGAGAGATAAAAACTAGAGAACAATTTGTGTATAATACTGATACCCACTGTCCCTGTGCCAGACCCTGGACCAAGCGTGTTATTTTGCTGAATTTTTACAACAATCACATGATGCCATTATGAGGAGAGGAGAAAACTGATGGACTAAAGAAATGCTGAACAGGGTTTCTTCAACTGAAGCATCCAAGTGAGATGAGAAACTCTTAGGTTTGTAATAGTGACCACTGGTAAGGTTATCCAATTTTTCTCTGTCAGTTCTTGACAGCCAGTGCAAAGAAGTAAAACACACAGACACACAGACACACAAAACCTAAGGTTAGGGATTTGTGGTAAAGGATAAGGAGGTGAGAAACCAAAAACCAAGGTAGCCAGTGAGAGTTTCTTTTTTCTTTTTCTTTTATTTTTTGGGACAGAGTTTTGCTCTGTCGCCCAGGCTGGAGTGCAGTGGCATGATTTTGGCTCAATACAACCTCTGCCTCCCGGGTTCAAGCGATTCTCCTGCCTCAGCTTCCCAAGTAGCTGGGATTACATGTGCAGGCCACCATGCCTGGCTAATTTTTGTATTTTTAGTAGAGACGGGGATTCACCATGTTGGCCAGGCTGGTCTTGAACTCTTGACCTCAGGTGATCCACCCACTTCGGCCTCTCAAAGTGCTGGGATTACAGGCACGAACCACCACGCCCAGCCCAGTGAGAGTTTTTTTAACTGATGATGCTG